CCCCCCCCCCCAAAAAAAAAAAAAAAAACAACCCAAAGTGTTCTTAGCACTATTATTGATAGTGTGACGGTTTTCATTAACCTTTGTTTGCTGCTGTCATTTCATGGGCTTATTGGGTGACCCAGTCTGGTACGGTATGACATCAAAGCAAAATTTACAGCTGGAGAAAAAACATAATTCCTAGTTTGAGCCTCTTTTTGTTTGTCTGTTTGTGTGTTTTCTTTATTCCTTAATCTGCTACCTGAGTCGTAACTTTCAAGGACATTCTTTGCCTTATCAGTTTTTGACACTACGCAGCTCTCGAGGCTTTACACCCACCCCTTTTCATCGGCTTCAAGCCCCTTCGCGTCTCCCGTCCCCCCTGACAAAAAAACAAAACAAACTCAAAAACCTCGCTTCGAAATTTTCCTTCCGTCGTCTCTTGCCCATCCCTACTCCGCCCTCTTATCTAGATCAGGGGATTTTTGTACGCCTGCAATCTTTAAGAAAGTATGGAATGTTGGCCTTACCCCCCCCCCCCCCCTTCTTAGGGCGAATTCTGTTTGGACCAGATGTCGTGTTCACCGATTTCTTGCTTGAATTGTGGGATCGGTGTTTCCCTTTCACGCGTCCGTTCGCAATGTAGTCTTTTAAAATAGACACAATGTGTGATTATGAAGGTCTGCTATTAATAATAATATGTTGACCCATGTCAAAGATCGTACATAACAAGACAGTTCAGTCATCAAAAAAGTGTCCGGGGAAGTCCATGCATTTGTTCAGATGGCGCTGGAGTCTTTGTTTTGAAGCTCTCTTTCTTTTCTTCAGAAGCGAATAGCACAATTAGTTAGTTTCACTTTTTTTTTTCGCACAAGTAGGGTAACTCTGGTTGCAAAGTCCGCTCTTTTTCGAAGAGGGCGCCATCGAATTTTGAGGACACTTATTTAATTGGCTCAAAGAGAGGAGTGAACTATCTTTATGTACGATCTTTGCCCCTGTTCACCACGGCAAAGTGAGATATTAACACCCAGGTATCAATTAACGCCTTACTTGAAATACATTTTAATGAATGTGGGCAGAGCGTATAATGTCAGCTTCTTGAAAAAAGGGGACAACATCAGAGCCGCACACTTTCGAGAAAAAAATTAGGCCTATCTGAGCCGCGCACATTTTGACGATATCGATACAATTAGATTGCTGATTACCAAAACCAATA